GGCGGGGGTGGAAGGGGGGGAAGGCGCACGTGTTGTACGCCCAGAGCAGGGAGAGGACGAGCCAGGCGGGCGTCGCGCCGACGTAGACGGCAGGCACCTTGCGGTACGGCTCGCACGACGACTCCTCCCTCGTGAGGGTCGCGTTGTACGCCGCGCCGCCCTCCGCCACCCACGCCGCTGGCGGCGCGTCGCCTCCGGCGCTCACCGCGGCAGCGATCAGCGCAGAGGTGTTCGCGCTGACAAAGACAGCCGGGAGGAGCTCGCCGCACGAAGGCTCCGGCAGCGCGTGCTCCGGCGGACCGCAGTCCTTAGGCAGCATCCCCTCCTCACGAGGGTAGCGGTAGTCGCATGCCAAGAGCACACCGCTCGCGTTTGCGCTCGCCGCGCTGCAGATGGCGTCGGCGACGTTGCAGGCGGAAGCTTCGCTGCAGGAGGCGGATGGCACCAGGAGGACAAGCCCCTCCAGGTTACGCCGCCCCTCGGGCTGCTCACTCCACTCACAAGCACACGAGGCTGCGACGGCGAGGCGGCCGCTCACAAAAAAGTCGTCGACATCGGGCGGATAAGGCGCGTCCAAAAAGGTGTCCTGGCCCGCGATGGGTGGCGATATCTCGATGGCCACCGTCACGCAAAAGAGGAGCGACAGCATTGCTGTGAGGAGCCGCGAGCCGGCTTGTGATTCAAAAGAATTACTTGCGACGCGAGCCCATCTCTCCTGGACATGACTATTTATTTATTTATTGCGCGACTCGCGGCGCGCTCGTGGCGTTCAGGGCGGCTCGCACACGCACACACACACACACACACACACACACACACACACACACACACACACACACATGCACACATGCATGCATGCACAGACACACAGCCCCTTCCCCTCCCCCCTCAAGACCTTCCCAAGGGCGAGGACACGTGCAGGCCGCACCTCTAGTGAGAGGCCCGCATAGTATGTGGGAGACTCATGCCGCCGCCCCTGCCACCCCTGTGTCAGTGTGCCTGTGGTTGCGAGAGACTGCCAGTGCCTGAGAAGCTGGAGGCAGGTCGCTAGACTGAGATGAGACCGCCAGTGGAGTTGGGAGTCCACCGTGCACCGCGCTGCGAGCCTGTCGTGTCCCTTGTCAGGAGCAGGAGAGCCCACCTCTCCGCTCTCCCCCTGATCGTCCTTCCAAAATCCTGCTCGTGCAGGTGTGGACCCTGTCCTCCTCCCCTATCCCTCGTTTGGGTTGTCTGTTTTCTTTCTTTCTGCGCGACTTCGAAAGACGGTGAGGCCCGTACGAGGCCGGCATCGCACACGGCAGGGATGGCGGGACGGCTGTGGAGCGAAGTGGCCGTAGCCAGCCTCAAACACCCATGGGACAATAAGATGAGATTGCCAGATGAGAATGGGTGGGGGGAGGCACAGGAGGACAGGCTTGTGACAGGCAGGAGAGCGACATCCGACATTTGACGACGTCGGGGGTCACAATGTGACGACCAAAACGATCTTGGGGGAGCCAGGGTGAGACAACAGGTCGGGGTGCCACACGGTGCACACCACAGGCGTATTGTAGAGAGAGGGGGGAAAGAACCGGGGAATGACCAAAAGCTGCAGAAACGAGCTTTTAGTGGCTATAAGCATAGGCACTGAGACGATGGTGCGCGCGGAGCGCGCTGGTGCTACCTGGACATACGCGCGGAGCGCGCTAGCTGGACACCCGCGCGGAGCGCGCCGGCTAGATACCGCGGAGCAAGAGCAAATCAACACAACCGTTCGAATGCTGACGCCGCAAGTCGTTGCCGCCGAGTGCCAAAGTGCGCCTGGATTGCTCAGCAGCACAAGCATCCGCGGAGCCAGCGAGCGCCGAGCGACATTGCCTTGACTGAGCCGGACCGCGACATGTCGGCGGGTCAAACTTGTAAAATGGTGCCGATAGCCGAGGTAGCTCCGGCGGACGTGAGAGCACGGCCTGACGATCAAGCGCACGAGAGCGACGGAACGGAGGCGCAGATAACTGGCGGTGAACTCACTGCTGATACCTGCTGGATGGAGCTGCGTAAGATGCAGTAGCACTGCCGCAGAGCACGCGCGGAGCGCGCCGCTGGAAAGCACGCGCGGAGCGCGCCGCTGGGTAGGTGCGGAGCGCCGCCACTTGAGATTGGCCTGTGGGTGGGCCGAGTGGTTCCTGCATTTGAGTCAAACTCTAGAGAGAGAGATTTTTAGCAAGCCTGCCGACGCGCCACGCCGGCGCCCGTGTGCCTCGCCGCCGCGTCCGGTGACGGCATCGGTCGCTGCCACAGGTCGTCCCACAGGTCGTACCAACAGGTCGTCCCAAAGGGGACGCATCCAAACCGCCGCATTTCGCCCGCCGAAAAGTCTCCCACTCGCTCTGCCCCAATCTCGAACCAATCTCGAGTCGTCTCACTAGTTACATACATACTCTATAGAAATCGCATCTCGCCCTCCACAACCCTCAAAATTTTCTTCGGGGCGCGCTCCGCGCGCGGCGCTCCGCGCCTCACTCCTGGAGCGTCATAGAGCTGTTTAGCTGGGTGGTGGCGGCGTGCCGACCTCATCAGACCGCTTTTCTTTCTTTCTTTCTTTGTGCGCGACGACGCAACAAGAGAACACCCAAAAGTCAAGTCAGACTCACTGCAAAACTTCCCTGTGGGCATCCCGCGAGCTCGCAGAACGCGACGGCAGTCATTACCCCTTGCTTTTTACTTCGCTCGCAGTTATCGAGAAAAGAAAATCTCCTGCGTCGCTCCTGCCAGCTACCCGATCCATCGCGTGAGACCCGATCCACCGCTGCTGCTGCTGCCTGCTGCTGCTCGATCCCTCCGCCGTCGCGACCGTCGGACGTTGCCACACACGAATGCTGGCCGCGGTGCTCGACCGACGCCAGGTCGTCGCGGCAGGCGGGCTGCTCGCCGCCTCGCCCTCCGGCCAGAGCGGCGCCAGCCTGCCTCCTCTGGCCACATTCGGCGTCCAGGTCTATGACGACGACGCTGCCGAGCGCTACACCACGCAGGCGCTCGAGGCCGGCTACCGAAGCTTCTTCACCTCGCCAGAGGCCGGCAACCAGCGTGGCTTCGCCCGCGCCGTCCGTGCGAGTGGCGTGCCGCGACAGGCGCTGTATATCGCCGGCAGCGTCCTCTCGGACGACGCGGAGAGTGAGCGCGCCGCGCGCCAGCTGACAGCGACCGCTTGCGACGAGAGCCGCAGCGCCCTCTCCGACGGCGGCGTCGAGACGCTCGACCTGCTGCTGATCGAGCGCCCGGCCGGCAGCCGCGCCGCGGTCCGTGGCCAGTGGCGTGCGCTCGCCTCGCGCCGCGAGGAGGGCTGGGCGCGAGGGCTGGGCACGTGCAACTTTGGCGCCGCCCAGCTTGACTGGCTTCCCGAGCGCCCGCTCCTCAACCAGTCGCCCTTCTCGCTCGGCGTGCGCATGCCGCACGCCGCGGTGCTGCAGCAGCACCGGCTGCGCGGCGTGGCGCTGCAGGCGTGGGGGCCACTCGGCGGCCCGTTTGGCGCCTTCCCGGCGCAGATGTGGCAGGCGTGCGCCGAGGTTGGGGCCGCGCGCCGAGCGTCGCGAGAGCAAGTGGCGCTCCGCTGGATCACGCAGCAAGGCGTGGGATGCTGCGTGCACTCGCGATCGGCTGCGCACCTGCGCCAGACCCTCGCGGCCTGCAGCGGCAGCTTTGACCTGACCGAGCGGGAGCTGGTGCGGCTCGGCGAGCTGGCAGCCGAGCCGTTGGTGTGAGCTCTCCCCGCCACGACCGCAGGCTGGCGGCTGCAGCTTCCGGCGAACAGGCGCTCGTGGACTTGTCGGCGCTTCTCTGCCGCAGCTGCTGGCTGTGCGGGGGGCGCAGGTAGCGCAGTCGTGACTTCGACGCGCCTCAGAGGCAGGCGACACTCGCAGCGGCCCGGCTCGCCGGGAGAGGCTCGGTCTCGCTGCTCGTGGAGCCCCGCCCCGTTCGCCTACGGCCTCGGCGGGGCGGTCGGCAAGGTGCACCGCCGCCGCTCTGGCAGCTTGAGACGCCAAGGCGCACGGGGCGTCTCGGAAACCATCCACAGCTCCTGAGTTCCCGCGACGGATCACATGCTGATAAGGGCTGCCACTAGAAGGGCATGTATCGAAGGGCTCGCCCTGAGTCAGGTGAGAGTAAGTTCGAAGCAGCAGGGATGAGCTTAGAAGTGCACCAGGGGGGGTACCGTCTACCGAGCAGTGTGCGGCCGCTCTTGCATGCGCGGGGCTGCAGTACCAGTAGCGCGTTTGCGCGCCCCCGGGTAATGAAATCAACTTTTTGTACTTTTCATTTCATCCTAGTAGACATAGTAGACATCCTAGTAGACATAGCCGTAGTATAGACATACCTAGACACATCCGTCTGTCCTTTCGTGTTTCCGAGGCAGTAGACATCCTAGTAGACATAGTAGACATAGTAGTGGACATCGACGTCAAAGGAGCAGATGCCGGCGCTAGTTGCACTCTGGGCAGCCCGCACAGTTGCGCTGCCATTTGCACTTCGTCGCCCACGAACTGCACAGACAGGGGCCGGGAGGCGGGTGGGGGTGAGGAATGCTTGCGCGTTTGGCCGGTGAGTGGGAGGTACACATGCGAGGTGAGTGGGTGCGTAGGAGAGTGTGTGGGAGACAGAGAAGGGCTGCACGCACTTTCCATTGTTCGCGCACCAAGGTTTGCAATTGGGCGGCGGCGGCGTCACAGCGTCGCACTCTGGGCAGCCCGCACAGTTGAGCTGCCATTTGCACTTCTTCTCCCACGAACTGCAGAGTGAGGGCCGGGAGGGGTGGAGGGTGAGGGGTGCTGTCCCTGCGCATTTGGCTGGCGTGCAGCCGTCGGTGAGGTGGAGGTACACAACAACATGTGCATGGTGATGCACATGCAACATGCACAGGTATAGGTGCAAGTGCATGTGAGGTGCGTAGGAAGGAGAGTGGGGGTTAGAGGAGGGCTGCACGCACTTTGGATTGTTTGCGCACCAAGGCTTGCACGGGGATGGCGAGGCGGACGGAGGAGGCGGCGAAGGCGACGGAGGAGGCGGCACGGGTCTGGCGGACGGCGACGGCGAGGCCGACGGAGGAGGCGGCACGGGCCGGGCGGACGGCGACGGCGAGGCCGACGGAGGAGGCGGCACGGGTCTGGCGGACGGCGACGGCGAGGCCGACGGAGGAGGCGGCACGGGTCTGGCGGACGGCGACGGCGAGGCCGACGGAGGAGGCGGCACGGGTCTGGCGGACGGCGACGGCGAGGCCGACGGAGGAGGCGGCACGGGCCGGGCGGACGGCGACGGCGAGGCCGACGGAGGAGGCGGCACGGGTCTGGCGGACGGCGACGGCGAGGCCGACGGAGGAGGCGGCACGGGTCTGGCGGACGGCGACGGCGAGGCCGACGGAGGAGGAGGCACGGGTCTGGCGGACGGCGACGGCGAGGCCGACGGAGGAGGCGGCACGGGTCTGGCGGACGGCGACGGCGAGGCCGACGGAGGAGGAGGCACGGGTCTGGCGGACGGCGACGGTGCGGCAGATGAAGGCGGCGGAGGCACGGGCCCGGCAGATGGCGGCGGAACGGTGGAGTTGCCGGTGATGAGGTACACGTCGTAGGCCCCTGCAAGCGGTCATCAGGGCGGGTGAGTTGACGGGTTTCTTGGGGTAGGGGGTCTGATTGAGGGCAGGACTTGTGGCACCGCAGTTGTCGAGGGAATTGTCGGTGCCGCACACTCCACGGTCGCCCTCACAAACGTCGCCTGCATGGGGGCACAGCGGCGCCAGAGTGAGCGCGCTCGACGGGGGAGGGACGAGCAGGCGAGGAAGCGGGGGCGGGCGCCGTAGGTGAGCTCGCACGAATCGCAGTTCGGGAGGAAATTCATCCCGTTGGGAGGGCACTCGGACGGCGCAACCGCGATCAGCGTGCGATACTCCGGCACGCTGCACGAGGTTGTGCACGTGAGTGGTGGGCCCGGGCCGGGCGGCGGCGGCGAGGGGCTGGGCGGAGGCGGCGGAGGCGGCGACGCTGCTGGCGGCGACGGCGGAGGCGGCGACGCCGCGGGCGGCGACGGCGGTGAGCCCGGCGACGGCGGAGGCGACGGCGGACTGGGCGGGCCGGTGGTCAGGCACGAGGCGACGTCGGCCGCATCAAACTTGTTGTAGAGCAGCTTGTTGGCGGTGTCCGCCGGCAGAGGCTGGGTGACTACATCCTTGGTGGACATGCAGAGCATCGCGTCCGTCACCTCCTCGGGGGTGAGCGCCGGGTTGAGTGACCGAATCTGCGCCGCCACGCCAGCAGCGTGCGGCGTCGCCATGGACGTGCCTGCGTCGTGGCCAAAGGGATGGACGGGGGCGGGAGGCTGGGGTCGGGGGCAAGGGTATAGCGCACCCGAGATTGTCCTGGTGGCGTCGTCGGAGCCGGACCAAGCCGCCTTGATATCGCGCCCCGGCGCAAAGATGTCCATGCAAGGCCCGTAGTTGGAGAAGGAGGAGCGACCATCGTCGATATCGGTCGAGCCGACGGTGATAGCCTCCAAGGTTGACGCGGGCGACTTCTGGCACGCGTCGCCGTTGTTGTTCCCTGCGGCGACAACCGTGAGGACTCCCGCCGCCATCGCCGCCTGGATGACGGCGTCGTACCGGTTCGCCCCGCCCCCGCCGAGGGACATCGAGAGGACCGCCGGGAGGTCGCGACTCTGCGCGTCGGCGACCGCCCACTCGATGCCCGCCATCACGCCGGCGTAGGAGCCGGAGCCGCCGCACGAGAGCACCTGGACGGTGATGATGGTGGCGCCCCTTGCAACGCCGTAGGTGGTGCCGCCGGCGGTCGAGGCGCAGTGGGTGCCGTGGCCGTTGCAGCGGGAGGAGCTGGAGTCAATCACGCCCTGGTAGACGTAGCCGGACACGTCGTTGCCGCACGAGCTCTCGCTGCCCGTCGGGCAGCCAGCGGACCAGCCGGCCAAGGCGCGGCCGCCAAAGTCGACGTGGCCGATGCGGACGCCTGCCGCACGGCGGTACGAGGGGCGCGGTGCGAGGGGCGCGGTGCGAGGGGCGCGGTGCGAGGGGCGCGGTGCTAGGCGTGCCGGTGTCGAGGATGTAGACGAGGGAGCCAGAGCCGGTGACTCCGGAGTCGTCGTAGAAGCCGTCGGTCCCATCGCGGCTGTCGATGCGGTCGATGCCCCACGCTTGAGCTGGCACTGGCGCCCCCGCTGGCAGGTCGTCGAGCTGGATGATGCAGTTGGGCTCCAGCTCCACCTCGCTATCGAGGACAATGCTGTCGAGGATGGAGGTATTGACGGGAGCGATGGCAACCATTCGGGCCATTGGCAGGCGCTGGACGACGTTGGCTCCATATAGGTCGAGTTTCTTGACGAGCTTGGCGACGCAGGCCGTGCCCGAATCCTGCGGGGGGCGGTCGATTGTGAGTTGCGGGATCGGTGTATTTGATGTTGCGGGAGCAGGCGGCGATACCTGAGTCGTGAATCGCGCCGACTCGTGAACGAGGAGGCCGGCGGCTCCGTTCTTCCCGCACGAATCGACTGCTGCTTGGAGGCGTCGCTTGCGCTCAATGCCGAGGCGCGTCGGCGCGGCCGTCGCGGCCGCGAGGAGGAGCACGAGGGTGGTGGTGAACATCGCCAATGCCCAACTGGGAGCTCGCTTTAGGCGTTTTGCTGGCGGTGATGATATCACGTAACCGGGTATAGGGAAAAACAATCGAAACACGCCAGCAAAACGCGTAAAGCGAGCTCCCCTGTGAGCATGAAAAAGCGAGCCCGCCTGGCCGATTTCGGTGCCTGTGGAATCCCTGTGTGGTGGCGTTCTGTGCCACTGTCGGGGGGGCTGCACCATCAGCAAACAAAGCCGACGTGTGTGTATCGCCCCCACCCACCCACCCATGAGCCATGTACCTTTTGCAGCTGTGTCATGAAGCAAGAAAGATAGACTTAGAAAGCATGAACCATCGAAAGGTCTGGTCTCCAAAAAGAATTTAAACAAAACAACTCTCTCTCACAGCAGACAGGCTCGACACAGGTGCGGACTGGCGCGTGCTAGCACTAAAAAGAACTCTCGGCGCCCGCCGCGCGCGCCCGCGCCCCGCCCCTTTTGCGCAGCAACACCTTAAATTGAGAGATCAAAAATCTCTCTCCTTTAAATTCCATGGCCCCCTCAAAAAAATTCACACAAAAAATTCTCGGAGCGGAGGTGGGCCCCGATTTTGAGAGAGATTTTTAGAAGCCAACAAGAAATGTGTCACACACAGTGATTTGGGCTCGGCAGCTTGTCGACTACCAGCCGGAGCCGGAGTCGGAACCGTAGCCGAGATGGTCGGCGAGGGTGTCGAATATGTCATTCGCCTCGCTAGTAGAGCCGGTGCCGCATGAGTCTTGGTCGGAGGAGGAGTCGTCGGAGGAGCGGTCGGACCGCTCGCGCTTGTCGCGCCTGATGCGCTCTGCGAGGGGGCCGGGGTCGTAGTTGTCGTGCTCGAGCGTCGGGTAGGTAGCGCGCCTTGCGACCCTGTCGGCCGTGCTGCCGTCCCAGTAGAAGGTATACCAGTCGCCGCGAGGGTAGAACCAAGCGTTGACCAATCTGTACCGTCCGAGAGCGGCCGCCTGAGCGGCCTGAGCAGCCGCCTGAGCAGCCGCGCGGGCAGCCGCGGCAGCGGCAGCCTCTCGAGCCGCCGCCTCGCGCTTGCCTTCTTCCGATTTTAAAAAGGCGACGGACGCTTGCGTCCAAAACGCCTCCCCGGCGCAGAGGGGCCGGAGGGAGGCCGGTACTCTTGCGGCCAGTACAGGTGTATTCTTTTTTTGCTTGGCCCGTACGTCATGATGAAATTCTGCAAAAACCTGGACGGCCCCTGCGGTGCCCCTACCTACCTACCTACCTACCTACCCTACTTATGGGAAACTAAAAAAGAAATCACTCGATGGGTGAAGGTGGGGTACCATACCAACTAAAGTGATGGTTGGTGGTACTCTCCTGCAACCACAGTCTTTCCTGTGACATGGCAGGCCACTCTCAAGCCCTCCCTACAAGCTACAAGCACCAGATCACCCATTTGGGGAGGGTTGACATCGTGATTTTCGCGGAAAATTTCCTTTTCTGCTGTGAAAATTCCAGCGTGAAGAGAGGGAAAAACCCGACGGGAGGGCCCAGACCTACCCTACCTACCCCGTCATGACGTACGGGCCAAGCAAAAGAATCAGTACTCGAGTACTACTAGCATAATAGTATGCACATGGGTAAAGTGGGTTGAGGCGGGCTAGTACTGTAGGGTGGTCGGACTGTCTATTGGGATTGACCCCAGCTATCTCTGTGCCGGTGTGCCTAACAGCCAAGGGACGCCAAAACCACTAAAGGGCGACCCTTGCGCCTTGGTCATTCATGAGCCTCGCTGTCGCCTCACTCACCGCCCTCGCTTCTGGGTGCTTCTCAAACAGCGCCCAATTCGAGCGGTGGAGCCACTTCAAGGACTACGGCCTTCCGGGCGTCAAGCACGACCCGCTCAACCAGGCTGCGATCGCAGACGGCTCCTGCCGCCTCGTTGAGCCTCCACTCGAGCTAGACGGCGACTCGTTTTGGACGCAGCGTGCACGCGTGAGCGCCGTGCTCGCCGCCCTCGCCGAAGCTCCGCCCACTGACAAGCCGTCTCATTTTGTGCGTGCCACTAATGCGCTACTCCGGAGGCCTTGCAGTACGCCATTTCCTGCACTCCCGGCAAACTTCACGCTCGGAGAGCGCAAGGCCGCACTCCAGAACTGGTACCACGCTCTGTGCGCGCCGGAGGCCGACTCTAGCTGGGCCGGCCAGTACGATCCCGCCGAGCAGCCGCAGCAGGCGGCGTTGACGGCTGGCTTCGCCTGCATCGTGGCGTGCGGCGCTAGCGGTGGCAAACTCGGCGGAAAGGCGATGAGCAGCCTCACTACGGGCGCGCAGGCGGCCCGCAAAGCGCTGTGCGCCGCGCTGCCCTGGGGCACCGTCGACTTCTCGACGGCGGCGACCGAAGCGGAGTTGGGCCGGATGGCGTCGCCTGTGCTGAGCAAGCCATGCGGTTGCGCACTCACGGGAGAGCTCTGAGTTTGATCCGTTTTTGTGTACAAATGTACAGTGAACACTGCACCCTCGGGCTCTCAGTGTCAGAACACACGAAGTAAAGAAGCTAGAAGGAATGCCGAGATCACAAGTCACACACAGTGTGTGAGTACCGTAATGTCGTCCGTTTGTTTCCACCCCCCACAATTTGAGGGCACAATAAATATTTGTGAACGCGCGCGTGGCCGCTTGAGAGACTGCAACGTCAAAGCCAAACACAACCGACTCGAGTCTCACCTCGCCCGCCCGGTGAGGCGTGAGGCAGTCTCAGTCTGCTCCTCGAGAGCAACTCGCGTGCCGCCGCCCGTCGGCGCAAAATCGAGGGCGGCGGGCGGCTCCGTGCCGGTGTAGCGGAGGTAGCGGAGGCGATCGCGGCTGCAGGCGTTCCACACGCCCCGCCGCGCGAGCCGCGCCGCCACCGGGACCTGCAGCTCGGGGTAGCCGAGGTGGACGCGCTGCGCCTTGGCGGCGACGTAGACGGCGGTGGCGTTGGCGTCGAGCACGCGCAGCAGGTCGTCGAGGGCGGAGGGCGCGCTGAGGAAGCAGTTGTCATTTGCCATCTTGTGCATCGTGCCGTACGGGTGGCAGGGGCTCACGCTGCTCGCCGCCCTCGCCGCCCACTCGCGCACTGCGGCGCCATCGCCGAGGGCGGAGGAGCGGGTGGGCGCGTGTGCGAGTAGGGCAACGCAATCCCAGATGAGCTCGAGGTCGTCCGCCGAAAGCTTGCGCCCGAACAACTCCTTCCCCTCCGGCCGCAGCCGGATCGCCGCGTCGTACTCCAACAAGCCTCCTCCGCCTCCTCCGCCTCCTCCGCCTCCTCCGCCTCCTCCGTGCTGCTGCTCGTGGCTGGCGCGCAGCCGTGCTGCGCCGCGCATGCCGCGAGCGTTGTAGAGCCAGCCAGCATAGCGCTCCGCCCCCCAATGCAACCTGCGGATGGTGTCGAACGGTTTCCCGTCGGGCGCGAGCGGCGCCGGCCCTCCCGTCGCCCTCGCCGCCACCGCCGAGCCCGCCGCAGCCCGCCCAGCCGCCGCCCGCCAGACCGCCGTGCCATTCTGCTCCTCGATGAGAAGGGCGGCCGGCTCGAGCGCGGCCCGCAGCCGCGTGACGCACGCGGCGGAGCTCCGGTCCGCACCGCGTCTCGCACCCGACCAGTGCAGCGTCGCGGGCTCGAGCGAACTCCAGGTGTGCACAAACACTGAGCACGTGCGGAAGCGGCGCCGGCAGGCGCTGAGGTGGCGCTCGACAGCGCCAAACGCACAGCTCGTACGCAGGTGACCGGAGACCTGCAGCGCGACCCGGGCCGGGATCTTGCCGCCTCCGGGTGGCGGCGGGAGCGGATCCCAGTCCACCCTGACACCGCGCCCTGTCACCCTGCCGTGCCGAAACGTGGCGTTCGGCGTCGTGGCTTCACAGCTTCCCGAGCAGGAACAGTGGCGTTTGAACCTTGAGACGCTCACGTACTTGCAGCCTGGCGTCCGCGCGGCCAGGGCGAGGCACCAGTCCACGGCCGAGAGCCACGAGTGCGGCGACGGCATGCGGTGGGAGGCGCCAGCGAACGCACAGGCGCCGCCGGACGAGGTGGCGATCCAGTGCGCGCCGCCGTGGTGGGCGGGAGCGGGCTGCTCCGCCATGAAGGGACGAGCGCGAGCTGGTTGAGCGCGAGTTGGACCGGGCCGCGTGAGGCGCGCGAAGGCGCCTCCTTTCGCGCGAATTCTTCCTTTTAAAATGGCTTGGGAGAGTGTGTGTGTGTGTGTGGCTTGGGAGAGTGGCCTGCCATGTCATAGGAAGGACTGTGGTTGCAGGAGAGTACCAGTGTACCACCAACCATCACTTAGTCGCTATAGTAAAAGAAAGAAAGAAAACAGACAAGCCAAGGGAGGGATGGGAGGACGGCACGCCGCCACCACACAGGGATTTTAGGGGAGAAGTGTGGTGCTAGCCGTCGCCCACCCTCGGGCGTCTACCTCTTTCTATCTCCCTTCGCAGTTTCTCACCAATTCTCGCAGCGACCTTCATGCCACCTCGCGTTCTTCCCACTCTCGTCGTTCTCTCTCCTGCTGTCTCTTCCCCTGACTCATCGCTCTCCACGGCCTCGTTCTGAGACGCCGCTGTCGTCTGCCGATCTCTTGCTCTCGCTGCTTCTCTCGCCTTTCTGCGTAACTCCGCTCTCCTCTCCGCGTATTTTGGTCCCTCGAGTTTATCGAGCATTCCTCGCGCAAGGAGCGACCACATTTCTGAGAGAGACGAGATTTTTAGCAATACCAAACAACTGGCAACCCTGTTCCCTGTCTGCACGTCTCGCGCGCGCGTGAACAGGGCTCCAGGCCCCAAATTACGTGTGAGTGTTAGAGTTGTTGTCATTTCTGACTCCCACCGCGATCATATCCCGCCCTGTCATGGTCGTTACTCAGGTCCACTCTCGTTTCGAGCACTTGTACCTCAAACTGTCGGTGTTGGCACTGGTGTTCCCTTCGGGTATATCGTGACAACAGCTGACGGCGGGATTTCCACTGGTGTTTCGTCCTCCTCGGGGTCGTCTTCCCCGGCTTCCTTGCGTTCGGCGTGGCTCACCCTCCATGCCGTGAACAGGCGCTTTATCCACTCTATATTCTTCTCTCGTTCCTCTGCCCGTGCCTTGGTCTTGTCGTTGTTTCGCACCCATGTCTGTCGCTAAAAGAAAGAAAGAAAACAGACAACCCAAGGGAGGGATGGGCTGTCTGTCGCTATAGTACCTCACCTTGCAAAATCGCTTTCTTTTTTAGTCATAGTAGGGTAGGGTTTGCTGAGAGAGAGAGACAACGCGCGCTTTTTGCTTCCTTTCGTACGCGCTTTCGTACGCGGCTACACAAGGGCTGGTGCGGAGAGCGGCGCCTCTGCACCGGGTCGGAGCACACACATGTTGCTCCTACTCCTGCCGCGCGCACCCCAAGCCTCGCCTCGCAACCGCTGCCTGGTCTCGACCGCCGGCGAAAACCTGCCATCGCCTCGCAGCGATCGGCTGCCATCTTCTCGCGGCGAGCGGCGGCGACAGAGGCTCGCCGCCGAGGGGCGGCATCGTCGGGTCAGCTGGCTGCTCGGGCAGCAGGGCGACCTCGCGCCAACGGAGCACGCGGAGCTGACCGGGCTCCTCCGCCGAGGAGACACGTACGACGCGTCCTCGTACTCCGCCTCGCACGCCGCCTTCAAGGCGGAGCAGAATGCCGTCTTTGCGAGCCTCGCGAGCAGCCTCGGTGGCGCGGCATCGCCCGTCGTTTACCTCGATGGGCCGGACGGCGGCTCGACCTCGGCCCTGCGCGCGGCCGGCTTTGCCACCGACCAACTGCACGTTGCAAACCCGCACGCGAGCACGTGCGCTGCGCTGTCCGCGCCACCACACAGCCTCGAGCACGTGGCGCACGCGAGCGCGGAGGAGGCCCTTGCCTCGGAGCAGTGGCGGTCACGCGCCTTTTGCGCAGCGTATTTCGACGGCTGCGGCGGCCAGGCCGAGCCGCTCATCGCAATGATTCGGGCGCTCTTCCACGAGCGGCGCGCCGCCGCCGCGGCGCTCGCCCCCGCCGTCGCCGTCGGCTTCACCCTCACGCGCGCCGAGCCGGGCGGCGCCTCGCTCGGCGACAGGGAGGTGGCGGTGCTGCGCGCGCTGACCGCCGCGGCAGGTGCCGTCGGGTACAGCAGCCCGTCGCACGTGGCAGACGACCCCGGGAGGTGGGGCTTGCGGCCAATGGGGAAGGAGCACGAGGGGACGACCACCGTGTGGACCGTGGTGGGCCGGCGGCCGGAGGCACAGGCAAGGTAAGTTTATTTCCAATTCTTTCTCGCCTGTGTTAGTGCCAGTGGTGCGCGCCTCCAGAGCGCCAATCTTCCCGTGCCCAAGAGAAAGAAAGAAAACCCGGGCGCAAAATCTTTCCGCGCAGCACCCCTCGCAGTGGCCTGGCGAACCGCGGGGGCCGCTGCAGCCGAGCCTCCTCACATCTCCTCCGACGACGCGCATGCCAGAACGGCCTCCTGACATCTCAACCGACGACGCGTCAGAGGTGTGCATCATCGGCGGCGGCATCGGCGGCCTCGCGCTTGCTGTCGGGCTGCAGTCCCGCGGCGTCCGCTGCCACGTGGTCGAGCGCGACTCAGGGTGGGACGAGCGGCGGCGTGGTTATGGGCTGACCCTCGGCCCAACCTGCATGACGGCGCTCACCAGCCTTGGCCTGCTAGAGCGGGTGCGTGCCGTCGATCAGGCGTGTCCCTCCGACTGGCACTGGGTGTTTGCCGCGAGCGGCGCCATCCTCGGCTACTTTGGCATCGCCTTTAGCGGCAAGCCGGGCGAGGCGCGAAATTTTCGCGTCCCGAGGCACGAGCTGCGCCGCATGCTGTACGAGCAGCTCGCGCCGGGCACCGTCCGGTGGGGCTTGCGGCTCGAGTCGTACGTTGAGGTGGCGGGTGGCGTCGAGGTGCACCTGAAGCCATCCCTGCAGCGCTCCTCCGCGGGCGACGGCGGCGGCGCTGCGGGCGGCGGCACTACGGGCGGCGGCGCTGCGGGCGGCGCTGCGGCGAGCAAGGCTCGCCTGCGGTGCAGCGTGCTGGTCGGGGCGGACGGGGTCCGCTCCGCAGTCCGCGCCCAAAAGTTTGGCGACGCGCTTCGGTACGTCGGCGTCGTGGTGGTGCTCGGGGTCTGCCGCACACAGCACCCGCTGCTGAGGCGGGGCGGCTTCTACACGGTGGACGGCACTCACCGCCTCTTCACGATGCCGTACGAGCCGCTCGGGGCAGCGGAGGAGGAGGAGGAGGCGGAGGCGGAGGCGGAGGAGGATGGCGGGGCAGGGCGAGAGCGGGCGGCGGGCGGGCGGCACAGCACGATGTGGCAGCTCTCGCTCGCGATGCCGGACGAGGCGGCGGCGCGCGCGCTGTGCGGCGGCGGCGGCGAGGCGCTGCTGCGCGAGGTGGTGCGGCGGTGCAGCTCGTGGCACGCGCCGGTGGGGGAGATGCTCGCCGAGACTGCCGCGGGCAGTGTGTGGGGCACGCCGCTCTGCGACCGCGCGCCGATGCCCCACCGCAGCAAGCAGGCGGGCAGGGCGAGGGGTGGCGGGGCGCAGGCGGGAGAGGCGCAGCCTTCGCCGTGGGCGTCGCGGGTGACTCTGCTCGGCGATGCTGCGCACGCGATGACGCCGGTGAGAAGAGAGAAGAGAGTCGGAGACGGAGACGGAGAAGAAGGAGAGCTGACCGCTGCGTGTTCGCCCCCCGCAGTTCAAGGGCCAGGGCGCCAACCAGACGCTCGTCGACGCGGCGCTGCTCGGCAACCTCCTCGCGGCCGCCCTCGCGGGCCGAGGCGAGGGGGGCACTGCCTCGGCGCTGGCGCGGTACGAGCGCGAGATGTGCGACAAGGCGGAGCCAAAGGTGGCCGCCTCGCGCCGCGCCGCGCTCCTCTACCACTCGGCGGCCGCGCTGGAGCCGGGGTCGTACGGCGTGAGCGGCGTGCCCGCCGAGGAGGCGGCGGCCCTGCTCGCCGAGCTGTCCCGGCGCGGCGTCACGGCGAGCGACGCGGGAGCGCTGGAGGCGCGAGCCGTGGCCGCGTGGAGTGAGTCGTCGTCTTGACAGTCCGGAGATTCGTTCTTTTGTCTAGCTTGTAGCTAGCGCCAACCGCGGCGCTTTACATAACAGAGCTCCAAGAGCGCGATGCGCATGTGACATGTCTCATGTGTGTCGCACTCTCATAGTGCACTCTCGCACAGCAGGCGGCCGCCAGCGCACGAGCGCCAGCTGCGCCGCCCCCGCCCCGCCACGTGCCGCGCCACGCGCGACGCGGACGCGCCAGCGGCCAGGGCGCCGCACAGTCTCAGCGGTGCGCGTGGGGACCTCAGTCGCGTCACGAGAGGACACGTCACTTGCGCGCGGAGCGCGGAAGGAGGAGACAGTGCCCGCGCGGTGCGGCGTACGTGCGCGCGCGGCGGGGGGCTGGGGCTCAGCTTTCCTGACGACATGTATGCGAAAAGCGCTTGATTGATGTGTGGCGCCGCGCGCCGCCCCACACACTCTCTGCGCGCGCACATTAGCACGGAACGCGCAACGGCGCAAATCAAGCGCGGAGAGAACCGGTGAACGCACGGTACACTCTGGGGAGCGGATCATCCATGCGTCCAGCCACATAGCTTGAGAGCGCAGCAGCGAACCACGCGCTGCGAGCTCCCGGCCCCTCTCGCCTGTCCACCCCCCTGCTGCGTCCGCAGCTATACTAAACTCCCTCAGAGCCGGGGCCGCTCCGGCGTCAAGGGTTGAGCAGCGCCTGGCCACCCTTCTTGTGGCCAACCATGTGGCGCTTGGAGAAGGGGCGCTTCTTGGACGCGTCCTTCGGCTCCCCCGGCTGGCCCTCGTGCATGGGGCGCTCTTCCCACGCCGGCTCGAGCTCGAACGCCTCGTACATCTCGCGCGCGATGAAGGGCGGATCGTACTCGCGGATGTCGTGCAGCACGCACACCTGCAGCCGCGCAAAAGGCGGACGCCGTCGCGGGCGCGCCGCGGCGGAGGGGGGGCGCGGCGGCGCGGTCGGGCGCACCGTCAGCGCCGTCACCGTCTGCTCGTACACGGCGGCGAAGGAGCGCGCGAGCATGAGGGCGAGGATGAAGATGGCCGTCGCCGGCACGAGCGGCCCGTAGTAGTTGTACGCATTGGCTGTGCCTGGAGTGGGGGGAGCGGAGGGGGCGGAGGGGGGCGGAGGGGGGCGGTGGGGGCGGTGGGGCGAGGGTCGGTCGGACGCCGTCGCGGAGGCCGGGGGCCCGCGCCGGTTTGGATTTTCTCGTCGTTCATCGTCATCTGCTTGTACGCGCAGAGGAAGCAGACGATCGGCGTGACGATGGACTGGATCCAGTAGAGGACGAAGCAGACCATCTTGTTGATTGCGATCTGCGTGGCGTACTCGCCGAGGAGGGTGTACGACATGTAGCAGGCGGAGCAGAAGCCGCGGTTCTCGAGGATGACGAAGGTGTAAGCGTACGAGGTGAGGAACTTGATCGACTTTTCAAAGCACATCAGGAAGCACTTGCAGCACTTGAGCGCGTACTTGAGCAGGATGTTGGCGTCCTGGGCGGCGGGCGAGAGCCGGTGAGGCGCGCGCAAGCGCGCCGAGGGCACCGTGGGCGGGCGGGGCGGCTGCTGACTACGGCGAGCCGCCTGCACGTCCTTGGTTTGGTCGTCGATGTACTCGAGCACGATGCGAACCACCGAGATGAGGGCGAGGATGAGCGATCCGAAGGCCATCGAGCCGAGGTTGCACCGGATGACCTGGGAGGAAGGGGCCGGGGGGGGGGTCGGGAGGAGTGCGAGTGGAGGGCGGATGGCGGGCGGTGCGGGTGCGGCCCCGCATCGCCCGATCTGTGAGAGGAGACTACTAGGAGGGAGTAGGAAGGACTAGGCCCCCGCCTGCCCGATCTGGGAGAGGGTGATGAGGTCGGTCTGGTTGTCGGCGTAGCGCGAGTCCTTCATGCCGGCGGTGTCTTGGTCGATGAAGTGGTAGTGGGCCTCGCCGCCCTGGGGGCGAGGCGGGGGCGGTGGGTGGTTGAGGGGTTCGGGCGGGGGGGGGCGAGGTGCAGGGCTGCTGGCTGCCGAGATGATTGTGGTGACGATGGCGTCGTAGAAGAGGTAGGTCCACAGGCCGCCAAAGGCAACGTAGGCGGTCTCGTACTTGAGCAGGTCGTTCGGGTCGACGGCGATGTCGATGGTCGAGTTCGCCTTGGCCTTCAGCTCCTCCGCCCAGCCGAGGGTGGTCTGGTACGACGAGGCCTGCTCACAGCCGCGCGGTGAGGACGGGCCCCCCCCCCGCGCACTCGTGTCACGCCCTGTTGCGGGCAGGCCGGGTCGGTCCACAGGTAGCAGATGATGAGGGCGCAGATGGACACGGCGACGAGCTGCGCGATGTACGAGGCGAGCGGGACAAACATCATCGCGGGCGAGTTCTTGATGACCTTTGTCCCCTCCGAGACGAGAGCGGTGGTGCGCTTGATCTGCTTGGAGGCCATGCAGATGAAGATGAGGGCGAGCAGCAGCAGCACGCCCGTCACGATCGCCATCCACTTGTAGATCTCCTTCATGCTCTCGTTGACCTAGGAGCCACTCGCAGCTCCTCATCGGCCGGTCGCCGCCCCGCCGCCACACCTCCTTCCGCGAGAGGCGCCGCGGTCATGCTCTCGTACATGGAGGACTCGGTCACGTAGGCGGTGTCGAAGCCGTGCTCGTCCATCTTGTCGCCGACGTAGCCTGCGCCCTGCGTGACGAGGTCGTCGATGTAGGGCGTGGAGAGGCCACCTACGGGGAGGAGCTCCGAGCAGGCTTCGGGGCATGCCCGGCCCCTCTCCGCGCGGTGGTGTGGTTGGGAGGGGGAGCCCTTATACGCGAAGATTGCGGTGGCGATGGCGAAGGTGAGGAGGAGGAGGAAGATGGCGAGGTAGACAGCGACGCCCGCGAAGAGGTAGAAGAAGATGAGTATGCCTGCGGAGGAGGGCAGGCGCGCTGTGGAGGGGAGGGGCGCTGCGAGGAGGTGGGCGGAGGAGGAAGGGGGGGGCGGGAGGCGGCGGCGGCCCGCGACCTCGCTCCGAGGATATCAGTTGACAGGTCCGCCCCATGCTAGCGGGATGGCGGCACAACTTGGCCCAAGAGTGCTAGGAGATCTGCGAGGGGTGGTATCCGAACGCACCCCACGTGCCAACCTCGCCCGCCTTGGACAAA